CACACACACAGGCGCGCGCACACACACACACACACACACACACAAAGGCAACCCTCTGCCCCCCGCCCCCTTCCCTTTGCCTCCCAGGCGCTGAAGGCGGCCAACATACCCAAGAATCTGAAGGGCAAGGGCGACATCCCCATGAACCCCCGCCACATGCAGCAGACCATGCAGCGCATGGCCGGCGCGCTGCCGCCTCAGCTGCTCAAGCAGATGGGTGGCGCCTCGGGGCTGGCGCAGCTCATGAAGAGCATGGAGCAGATGCAGGGCGGCGGGCCGCCGGGCGGCGGCGGGGGCGGCGGCGGCAAGGGGCGCAAGTGAGGCGGCGTCGCCGCGGGCGGCGGATGTGGGGCGCGCGTCGCGCGCGCAGCTAGGCCCCCGGCCGCCGCTCGCTGCCCTGCAGCGGGCCTCTGCGCACGTCGGTGTGATGGCCTCGGGTGGCTCTGCAAACGTGCATCTCGTGCTTGCTGCGGCTTTTTTGACCCTTTTCTGACGCTCCAGCCTGCTGTTGATGTGTCATCAACATCCAGTCTCCCGTGCCCCCCCTGGGCCTTTGCTGCATGGAGTGTGCGGCATACATGTCTCTCACGCTTACTCACCCCCTCTCGTCAGCGGCTAGCTGGGAGGGGGCATCGCAGGCTAGTGCTGGTACTCTTGTCCACCTCTCTTTCGCGGCGTCTGCCTGTTTTTGTGCCCTTCGCCCGTTCTCTGGCGCTCTTCCGCCTTTGTTCCCGTTTCTTGTTGGGTGGGTGGTCGTCTCACACACCAGATGGAGGGGGCTGCGGTCGTCTCTCCTATCCGACTGGCTGCGCCCTCCCCTTGTACAGCGGGGGCCTAGGGTTTAGGGCGGCCCTTCGGCCCCGTCAGCAGCACCCAGCGCCGCGACGCGTTCAATGCCCCCCATGCAGCCTGCGCACTCTGAGGGGGCGCGCCCCGCGTTCTGACAGCTCGGCGGCCCGCTTCAGCACCCAAAAGCTGCTGAGCGCGGCAAGAGGGCGTTGATTGTTACATTCCATGCCACTCGTGGCTGGCCGCAGTGGCCCCTGGATCACATGGCCCGGCTGGATCATAATATGGGAGGGCAATGCGGGTTCGCCAGCTACTGAGGCGCAACGTCTATAAAGGACACTGTGGAAGCAGCAGCAGTAGCCGCAGTAGCAGCAGTAGCAGTAGCAGCAGCAATACACCCAGGCAAGTTGCAAACCAATACGCAGCAGGCCTAGCTGCCGCCCGCAGCGGAGCCACAAGCCAGGCCTCCCGGGTGACAGGGCGGCCCGCGATGGAGTGGGCGAGGTGCTACAGCAGCGGCCCGGGCTGGGTGACGCTTGCACTGCTTGGACGCACGAGAGTCATTAGAGGACATGGCTTGAATGATTATGTGCAGTTGAGAAAGTTGATGTTTCTGGCAGGTTGGCATGTGCAGCACCAATCCCCACCAGCCCGGCCTTGACCCAGTCTGCCGTCTGAGAGGGTGACCACACTGCACTCAGCTTCGCTGGATCCGGGGCCTCATTCCGCTGGGCTCACACGCTGAAGCGCTTTTCTGAAGTCAACTGGGCCCGACTGGGCGGTTGCGCCTGCACAATAAGGCAGCCTGGCCTCTGACATGGGTCCCGCGCCCAGTTTCACAGTTCCAGCTTCCACATCAGCCCAGCTGATGCAGTCGCGTTGCCCTCAGGGCGGCCACGGTGCTCGATTATACTGGTTCTATGTATCTGGTGCTATGAATGGCTCGAGTTGCCAAGATTTCAATGGTCTGTTACCAGGGAAGCTGTACACAGTAATTGTTTGGTGTTTTGACGGGTGCGTATTGCGCCCGTCCGCCTGTGCATGGCAACGCCCGCCGCGTCCCCCAAATCAAGGGGGCAACGGACAGCGAGGCGCGCCAGCCTCAGAGCAGCGCGGGTGCAGCCGGAAATGTCTGCACACAGGCGCACAAATGCCAGAGCCCAATCGCTCGGAACAAATCAGGGGGATTTCCCGCCTTAAGCCGGCCCCGCGGCAGTCAGTTGCAGCCAGCGGGCATGGGTGCGGCGCGGCGCGTGTGCCACGGCAATCAAGGCGCCAGGCTGCACATGGCCGCCGCCGCGCGGCGCCGCGCCGGGGTTGACCCTTGGACGAGTCATGTGGCTCAGAGCTTGCCCTGCTTCTGCAGGCCGTCCCTGAAGGCATCAATTACGAGCTCAACGTTCTGGGGCCGCGCGTTGTAGCCCTGGGGTGTGGGTGGGTTTGTGAGGGTGTGCAAGTGTGTCATGTCACAGAGGACGAAGGTCAGGCGATGTGGTCCGCAGAGCGCATCCCCTTGGGTGGTTCCAGGCGCCCGTGGCCACAGGTTTAGCATTGCAGTTTGCGCCCGATCGCCGCGCGCCAGCCGGCGCGCTCGCAACCCCTCGGCCCCGCCCCCGGCGCGGCGCGGCCCCCCGCCCAAAATCAGCTCCCAGGCCCCCTCCCGGCCCCCCGCCTCCTCAGGCGGGTGTGCACACGCGTGTACACGTGTCTCAGCCCGCGCCTCACCATGAGCCCGATGCGCCAGACCTTGCCGGCTGTCGGGCCGAGGCCGCCCGCGATCTCGAGGTAGTACTTGTCCATGGCGTTCTTGACCACGGCCGCCCAGTCAACGCCCTGGGGCACCTTGATGGTGTTCACCGTGATCAGCCTGGCGGGTTTGGATTGAGGTTGAGGTTCGGATCGTCAGGGGGCGGGGCGGGGGAGCGGGGCGGATGGATCAGAGCGGACGGCCGCGATCCCCCGACAGCCGACTGCGCCCGGGGCTCGAGAGCAAAATGTGACGCCGGCGCCGGCGCGGGTGAGTGGGGTGCGCGCGGGCGTGGGGTCTTGCCTGTCTGCGTCGCGCTCCACGAAGGGCTCCAGGCCCAGCTTCTTGAGGCCGTGCCACAGCATCTCATGCATCTCAAGGTGCCTGGGTTTTAGGGATAAGGAATTTGGGAAGGCACACAGCAGCATGCAGGGGTATGTGAGCGCATTCAAGTGTGTGCGTGTGAGTGCGTGCCAGCGTTCCCGCACGCGCGTGTACCTGCCTGAAACGAGGCTGTCGCACGCCAGCTGCGGCACGGGAGCATGAACGGCGGCCCCGCGGCCCCGCCACGTTGGCTTGTGGGTGCCGGCAGCTACCAGATGCAGCGGCATGCGGCTTGACAACCCAACAGGGGGCTGCGGCAGGTAACAGGCGCCGCCGCGGCGCCAGCTGGCGTGGCGCTGCGGCTGCTGCTATTTTAATGACCAGGCGGGGCGGGCCCACCTGGACCACATGTTGTCGAGCCCCTCCTCCTGCACAATGGACAGCGCCTCACGCAGGGCGTAGCACATGCTCACCATGCCTGGCACGGGGGTTGTGGCGCAGGTTGAGGAGGGAGGGGGGAGAGCGTTGGATGGGTCAAAGAGTCTGGTGCGGCTCAGGCAAGCGCTGTGATGAGGTGCCCTTTCGAAAAAATGGAGACGGTAGGGCGGGGCGCGGGGCTGGAATTGAGTGCGAGGCAAGAGGTAAACAATGCAAGGCTGGGGCCGTATGGCTGTGTGCATGCGTATGAGGCGGCCGCCTCGTAAGCGGTGCAGCTGTGCCGTGGGCGCCGCGGCCACAGCCCCCGCTGCGACCAGCAACCTGTGTATCAAGGCTCACCCGTGTGGTGGTAGCTGCGGCTGTTGAACCAGCCCCACTGCGGGCAGGGGGTCCCGCACAGAACCCGGGGGGGGGGGGGGCGTGAGGGGACAACGCCGATGAGTGCGCGGGCGACACGACCGCTGACCTGCTGCAGCTCTCGACGCCCGCACATCATCATCGGAAGCCCTGGGGTCCCAACACGTGCGCAGCGCAAGCACGCAGCTCGGCCTCTCAGGCGCAAGGGGTTCCCTCCTTTCGACAGCAGGGACACAGCCGCGTCCCAAAACACAAGGACGCCTCATGCCCGCCGCCCGCGACCCACGTAATCGCCGATGAGGTTCATGTCCAGGTTGAAGGTGGCCGGCTTGGTCTTGCGCCCCTTGAGCTTCTCCAGGGCGCGCTCAGACAGAGCAAACGGCGCGCCGCCCGGCGGCGCCGAGAGGCACTTCTGAGAGCCGCTGCGGGGTTTGGAACGCCGCAAAACAGGTGGTTGAGAGTCGGCATGGCTGTGCAGGTGAGCTGCCTTTGAGCGAGCGACGGGATTTGACTCCTGGCGGCGACGTGCGGTGGCATGCCGTGGCTTGTAATCGGATAACATGCAGGCAGGTGAGGCAAGGGGCGGGCCTCTGCCTGGGTGCCCGCCCACCTGTACATGCAGTCGACGCCCCACTGTGGAATACGCGAGGGCAGGGAAGGGGGGGGGGGTAAACGTCAAGCAGTGTGCAACGCCGGCGCGAACAGTCCCAGCGTGCAGCGCGCCAGGCAAGGGCGCATCGCCTCGACGCATTCGGCACCCTTTAATGAAACCAGCAAGCAGAACCGGGAGGCACAGTGAAGCGTCGAAGAGGCGTCAAGCTAGGGAGCCCCTCCGGCCAACCCACCCCGCTCTTGGGCCCCTTTTCCCTCCCCACCCCCCCTGAGCCCGCCCACCTTGTCGAAGAAGAAGGGCACGCCCCCGAGGCTGCACACCGTGTCCACCAGCAGCAGCGTGCCCGTGCGCTTGCACACGTCGCCCAGGCCCGCCAGGCTCTGGTGCACGCCCGTCGAAGACTCACCCTGGGGCAAGGCGGGCCGATAGGCGGCAGCAGGGTCGGCGCCGGCCGTCTTGCCCACCCAACAGCTGCGGTCCAAAGCCCGACAGTCGCAGGCATGATTTGCAGCCGCAAGGGTCACGCTCCAACTGTGCCAATCTCACGGTCGCCGCTCGTACGCACGCTGTTCGAAAAGCCTCGTGCGCCCGTCTGCGGCTGCGCGTGAGGTGTGTGTGTGCCTTACCCATCCCCTCCCCACCCCAAAATAGTAATGACCTGGCAGAGGAAGAGCAGCGCGGGCTTGTGGGTCTCCAGCGCCGTGGTCAGCTCCTCCAGGCTGAAGGACCGCCCCGCGTCCGCCTTGAGCTCGATGACGTCACCTGGGGTCGCAGGTGATTGGATATTGGTGTTGGGAGAATGAATTTTTGTGTGTATGTTTGTGTGTGTGTGGTGCACGTGTGTGTGTGCGTGTGTGTGCGTGTTGTGTGTGAGGGTAGCAGCGCGGCTTAAGGGTGGTTTGGAGGTGATGCATGAGCAATGGTAGCACTGCGCCAGGTGGAGGGCGGCCGTCAAACCAGCGCTGTCTGCATTCACATGACGCGGAAAGAGAGCGGCCCCCAGACCGATGCTGGTTGTGCGGCGCCCTCTGGTGCACAGGCGCAGGTTGTGCGGCCTTGCGATCAAGGACGTGGGCAACTAAAGGCAACAAGGTTGAGTCGACACCGGACAAACAGCTAGCAGGCAGGCGCTCACCGCCGTAGCGGGCCGCCAGGTCAGCGACGCGCGTCCCCCAGATGCCCTGCAGGAAGATGGTTTGGGGGGCGCATACGCCGTGAGGGCTGAATCCCACGCGCGGCTGCTGCATCCGTGCCTCTGCCTTGCTCCAGCCTGCCGAGACCACGTGCAGCCGCAGCTGCCGTGTCTCCCGCACCCCGTTTCGCGCCCCATCTCGCGCTCCCTGCTGCCCCCCTTCAAAACAACCCCCACAACCCGGCTTGGCTGCGATTGCGCCGCCAGCAAGCTGCGCGCCTTGTTCCCGACGATGATCTTCTCCCCGGGCTCCAGAAGGTTGGCAATCGCCGCCTCCATGCCTGCGTTCGCGGGACGCGGTGCAAAGGGAGGGCGCCTTGTCCGCGCCGCCCAGCGCCCCACCTCGCGCAGCGCGGCGGCCACCCCATGCCCGGAACACCCCGTCTCAGCCACGGTGCCGCCGCCCCCGCAGGATCTGCCGTGTTCCGGCCGCCCGCCTGCACCCGCCGCCTGCCGGCCCCACGCGCTGGCGTCAGCCCAAGAGGCAAGGACAGGCTGCGCCCCCGCGTCGCCGAGCCGCTGTGCTGCGCTCACCGGCGTGGCCAGTGCCTGACACCATGAGTGTGTACTTGCTGTCGGTCTGCAGGGTGTACCGCAGGCCCTCAGAGATCTCGTCTGCGTGAGGGTGCAGAGCGCGCCAGTGTGAATGCGAATGTGTGCGTGAGTGTGCATGCGTGTGGGCGTGTGAGCTCGCGTGCGGATGTGTGTTTGTATGCGGTCACAAACCTACAAGTTCGTATGTGTGTGTCTGTGTCTGAGTCTGTGTCTGTTGCATGTGTACCTGGTAGCACAGGCGACAGTCCTCATCTGGGCTGCACCGTTGGCTTTGCTGCCAGGCTTTGCAGGCAGCTATTGACGACGGTCCAGCCAAAGCCTCTGCCATACCAAGCCCAAGGCGCGCCATTGCCAGCCTCTCCATCAGGCAGGCTTGCAACATGAGTCGCATCTCGACGCCCGACCGCCCCAGGCCAGCCGCTCGCAGCGCCGCCGCGGCATGCGGCCGCCCTGTCGCAGTCAGCCCGGCCGACTGTCACCCCCGAGGCCCCCTCACCCATGATCTTCAGGAACGGCGGGTGCATGTGACCCAGCAGGGGCAGTGACTGAGCCGCCAGGATCCGGGGGTCGGCGTTGGCGGGGCCGGGGCCCATCAGCAGCCGTTGCGGGACCTGCGGGGGTCCAATGAGTGCGGGGCGTGGCGTCAGCGGCCATCGCCGTGCTCCCACGCATGCCCATGTCGGTGGCAGCCTGTTTGTCCCGGTGAATCTGCAGGCTCAGCAGGCTGCCACCGAGGCGCAGTGCGGTGAGCCAGGTGCGGCATGCAGCACAGTTCCGCGTTATGCGTGTGGCTTGCCGCCGCCGGCCCTCAGCAGAGGGCGCGCCTGCTGACACTCGAAGCCACCAAGTTTTCATTGCGGGCAATTGGCGAGCTGCCATGCTCATTGCAGCGGCTGGACGTGGCGGCACCAAGCAAGTGATGCTCCTGACCGGTGCTCCTGGCCGAGCTAGAACCCCATTGCTCCTGCAGCGCCGGCAATGACAATCACCTGGATCACGCTGCTGCCGGGAGCAAGGCGGTGGGCGTTGCTGATGGCGGGGACAGCCTCCCCTGGGCGGCCCGCATGTGAAGCGAAGGCCCGCTGGGCCAGCTGCCACAGGCCTCTACGTGCCGACATGATGAAGGATGAACTGGGGAGAAGGGACAACTTGGACGCGGTCCGACCTCAAAGAGAGGGGCGAGGCGTCTGGCGCCACAGTGCGCAGTTCTCTGTGCAACTGCGCAACCACTTCCCGAAGCACGGAGCCTTGATGCATATGTGCTGCAGCCTTGATTTTAATCACTTGTATACTTCGCATGTGCATATGAACGCTCTCTGTGCTTTGGCAAACCTACGGTAGTTCAACTCAAAACAAATGTACCGGTAGGTCAAACCCTGGTCTACACTAGGGAGCCCTGCCTACCGGTATGCACGTTTTACCGGCATACACGCTTCAGCGCCGCCCACAAGCAGGGCATGGTGATGCACCAGGACGAATGGGGTAAGCGAGCCCATCTTCCTGCGAGATGCCTGGCATCACGAGGACTGTTCGCTCGATCACCTTTCTGGAGTGGTAGTCAACAAGGGCTGACCAACCGGCACATCAAAGGTAGGCCCGTGCATCACATGATGTCGCTACGTGCAGCAGGGCAAGCATGCTCACACACCATGCCATGCATTCAGCGGCGACCTGGCTGAGCCGCCGGCCCCCCCTCCTGCACCATGGGCATGCCAAATTGCCAGTGCTGTGCCAGCCCTGCCACTGAATCACCGATGGGCCTGGTAGGTTCTTGTGCCGTGCGCATTCTTTCTAGCAAGCGAGCGTCTTGAAATCGCGCATGAAACGTCAGCACAGCCCAAGAGACTGCGTGGGGAACGCCAAACGACTGCGATGACGCTCAGCCTGCACCCCATGGTCTGACGCAAATGCGTCTTCCAAGTCATGTGCATATGTATAACCCCCATCGTAGCATGCACGCATTGACGAGGGCTCAATTACTGTGGGGCGCCTAGAGTTGTCACCACCGTGGACACCGCACACGGCAGATGTGGCAAGCAGCAGTGTGCTCAATGCGATTGGGGTGTCCCCGCCCGTACCCGCTCCACCGGTGCCCCTCGATACATATGGGTGTCACATGCAAATAATCTGTATCATCGTCATGTCGTTGTAAGAGCGCAAACATACCCTGCTGCTCTGTTGCCATCGCACGTACCTCTTGTGCTCAAGACAGGGCAGATCGGCTTTTGAGCCGCGGGGTGTCCTCACGCTGGTCGCATAGTGCTCGTAATGGAAGCACACGAAAGCCACACGCTGATTTCCGAGGAGCTAGGCCTGCTCCTCGGTGCCCTGCGTGCTGGCGAGGCTGACTCGGCACGGTGTTGCGCAGAGCGACTCGGCTCGCGCTGCCTGACGTCGCGCATTGCCGACGTGGCATGTGACCACATCGGCATCGGAACGCCGGTCCTGTCTCACATCAAGGCGGCGGTGAACGAGCTGGTGGAGGCGTTCTGCCAGGATACAAGAGACGACGACCGACAGCTCACTTGTTGTCTCGGGCTGTGCGCTCTCTACGTCGCCCGCGGCACGCCGCACTCCGCCGCCGTGCGCGCGGCGCTGCAGGCGCACGGCGCCGCCGCCGCGGCCGCGGCAGGCCGCGTCCTCGTGGCTGTTGCGCGGCAGCCGCCCGGCGCGGCCGGCAGCAGCGAGAGACGAGACGACGTGATCGAGGAACACATCGGCCGCCCCTTGCTCATGGTAATGGCAGTCCTGGGGCTGCCGGCAGCCAACATTGCTGAACAGCGAGCCAAGGTCAAGGCTTTCAGAACCACGGGCGCCTTCTCGGTGGCGCTCGACCTTGGAGCGGCAGACTGCATGCAGCTCATCCTGCAGGCGCTCACACAGGCTGAGGACGACGGCGCGGACGCTGTCTTGCGCAGCGAGCTCGAGCGCCGGCCCCGCGCGGCCGCGGCCGTCGCCGCGCGCATGGTCGAGCACGCCTGCGGCCCCGCGGGCGGCGAGCCCCAGGTGGCGACGGCCTTCCGGCTCCTGTCGCTGATGGCGAGGGCCGGCACGGGCGCGCGGCACGCGGCGCTGGTGGAGGCACCGCAGGCGTGGGACGCTTCGCTCGGCTTGATCGGGCCCGACGCCGGACTGAGCGGCTGGGGGGCCACCTGGGCGCTGACCGCCCTCAACGGCCTGTTTGCCTGCCCGCTGGGGCGCTGCGCTGTCGCTGGCTGCCGCTGCCAGGCGGCCATGTCGTCGCTCATGCGGCGCGCCGTGCCGCCGCTGCTGCGGCTCGCGGCTGGCCGCCGCGCAGGGGCGGGGGCGAGCGAGCAGGGGGATCGGCTGCAGCAGTTGGCGGCAGAGGCGGTTTTCGCCGTTGCCCGGCGCGAGCACAACGCCGACACGCCCATCAGCAGCATTGCCGCTGCGCCCGGGGCCGCGGCGGCGCTCGTCGCCGCCCTCCGTTTTGCGGTGATGGCGGAGCGCATCACCAGGGATCCAGAGGAGCGCCAGTGCTGCTTCCGCGCCATGTGTGCCGCCGCCCAGGCGATCGCCTTGGTCGGCGCCCACTCTGGCGGTCGGGGGGCCGAGTGGCGGGGCTCCGTCGGCCTGCTGGGTGGCCCGGCGCTGGCGAGGCTCGCGGGCGTCATAGATTTTTGGGAGTCTGAGGAGGTAGAGCGGCTGGCACTGGCGGGGGTGCCTAATGGCAGGATCTCAGGCATGATGACGGATGCAGTGGATGCGGCTGTGGACGCGGCCATCTTGGAGACTGAGCTGAGCATCCCTGAAGGGGGGGCGGGGCTGCCGGCGCAGGGCGGCTCGAGGCAGCAGCGGCGCCTGCAGCAGTGGCGGCAGCAGGAGCGGCAGCGAGAGCAGATGCAGGCACGGCAGCAGCGGACGCAGCGGCAGCAGAAGCAGCAGCAGCAGTCGGTACAGGAGCAGTCGCTACAGCAGCCCACGCAAGTGCAGCAGCCACAGCCGCAGCAGCAGCAGCAGCAGCAGCAGCAGCAGCTACCGCAGCAGCAGCAGCAGCAGCAGCTACCGCAGCAGCAGCAGCTACCGCAGCAGCAGCAGCAGCAGCAGCACCAGCAGCTACCGCAGCAGCAGCAGCAGCAGCAGCAGCAGCAGCAGCAGCAGCAGCAGCAGCAGCTACCGCAGCAGGCGGCGAGGCCCTCAACAGGAGATCAGTCTGGCGCTGGCGTGCGTCACACGCAGAAGCAAATTCCAGAGCACCTGCAGGCGTGCGCCAGCTGCGGCACGGCACGCGGCGAGGCGAAGCTGCGCGAGTGCACAGGCTGCTGCGCGGCGGCGTACTGCGGCGCGGGGTGCCAAAAGGCGCACTGGGCGTCCCATCGGCCAGCCTGCAAGGCGGCGCAGCAGGCCAAACAGAGGCTCGAACCGGGGCTTGTCACGTAAGTTTGACAAATTTGACTCTGATTTGTGTTTTGACCATAAGGATGGCCTGCACACCGCCGCAGTCACCGCTGCCTTGCATGCTGCACTGGCAAGCACTGCCTTCAATGCCCTGGGTACAAGCGTTACTGAGTCACATTACTTGGTACTTTGTGCCTCTGTCCAACCTGATGGTTGGTGATTGGGAAGTGTAAGCAAATGTCCCAGACAAATTACATTATTTGTTGGCGGCGAGTCTCTAGAATGTACGCTGACAGATATTTTGAGCGTATGCAGGTCAAGCGTTGACATATCCTGGCCCGGTAGATGAGGAATGCTAAGGGCGACTTGCCAGACCATGTGGCATGGCCCTCTGCCTGACGGTGTATGCGATTAGGATTGTTACAAGACCCCGCGGTCGCCTGCTCCTGGAGCCATCCAGGCTCATGGGATATGACTTGGTAGCATCAGCGTTGTGTGACGGGGATTCAAGGGGCCACTGTTCGCCGTTCAAAGCAGGCGTGCACAAAGTGTATGAGTCGCGGCACAACATTGCCATGCTGCTCAACAAGAAATCGCGCAGCCCCACAAGCCAGAACCCACATGCACAGCAAAATATTAAGCAACAAAGAAGCTGGGAAGCGTGTGCCCTTTGTATCACGGCAAAGGGGCAGGAGGGAGCAAGAAGCAACCCGCCCATCACACCCCCTCCCAAAACACTCATCCACAGGGGGCTGCTGCTCAGACTGTCCCTCCAAACTCTGTGTGTTGCGGCCGCAAACAACAGCAACGAAAAGTGGTTGATCAAAGGCTGCACCCGTGCGGCCTGTCCCAACTCGCGATGGGTGTCATTGCAGCGCCCGCCGTGCTTGTGCAGCGCGTCCTCGACAGCTTCCGCGCAGCTATTGCGGGTGCAGCGCGGTGCTGACAACCACCACCACTGTTGCCCGCCTTGTTGCAGACGGGGGAGGGGAGGTACAACCCTGGCGCTGGCGACGGCTTGCGTGCCGGGAGTGTCAAGGTGAGGCAAGCGGTTGCAGCTTGGCCTCGCACAACATAAAAGTGACAGGTGCGCGCACTTGCAGCTCGCCTGTTGAAATCCAAGTCCCACCCTTGCGCGAGGGGCCGAGTGTTGCGGGCCCCCAGCCCAACGCATGAAACTGGCAGTTGGGGCAGGACTGCTGTGTGTGGAAGCGAGGCAGTGGCTGGTGGGCTGTGCTGGCGGTTGACAGCCTGTGCCAACGTGGATAATGCATTGCTTGAGGTCACCGATGATCAAAGTGGCGGTTGCGCGCAACAGGCCACTTAGCGTCCCCTGCATGCACCACAACTGCCCAGGGTTGCAAAACGAAGTGCAGCAGCAGCACTGCAGCACACAACAAGGATGAGAGTTGTGGCAGCACGCATGCACTTTGCAGAGCGTGAGTGCCAGGTGGGTCAGGGGGTTTTACTAAGGAGCCCTCACTGGTTTCGGGACCAGGGCCGCGCAGATGCATGCAGCCAGGGGCCGGGGCTAAATCGGCGCGCATTATTGGTGGCAGCAAGGTCGGCTCTAAGGGTTCGAAGCTTCTTGTGGCCGGCCCTAGGCAGGCGGCAGGCACAGCAGCACATGCACCGACATGCGGCACACGGAGGCTCTTGTGTTGGGGTGGTTGCGTGGGGGCGCACGCAGGCGGGGCCGAGTAGCAGGGTATGGCACGGTATTCATGGTGGCTGCAGGGTTGATCGGGATGCTCGTGTTTGTGGCGAACAGCACCAAGAGACCTTGTCATCATTTGCGCGCAGCAACTTGGTATGCGGCGGCTGGGCCCCTCACCTGCGCACATGCCAGGAGGTTGGCAGCAGGTCCATGAGGGCGGTGCATGAGTCGACGCTCTGCAGAGGGCGTGGTGGAAGCCAAGCAGCCAAACCGCTTACGACGGACCGTGGAGATGACAGTGTTGGCGGCCTGACGCACTGCTGGCGAGGCCGAGCAGCCCGTGTCCACACCGCAAGCCCTGAGAGCCTGCACTCATCACCTTGCGCAGGTCCTCCTCCTGAGCAGCGGCGCCAACGGCGCGCGCAGCTGCGTCCGCGCCATGCGCCGCCCCGCCACCAGGGTCTTCAGCCCTTGGCCTGCGCCGGCGCCTGCGACGTCGCGCGCCGCCCAGCTCAGGCGCCCGCCGTAGGCGGCCACGTCAAGCAACACATGTGCGGGGAGGGCCTTGAGCGCGCAGGCGGCGGCGCCCATAGTCTTTTCATTCCTCTTGTTCTTGATGGCGCTCCTCTTGGGGACGGCCACCGCCCCAGGGGCGGTCTGCTTGACGCGTACAGCGCGCTGCCCAGCAAAACCTGTGGCTGCGCTGGCGCTCTGCAGGGTCAGTGGGATGCAGAGGTTGGCAAGTATTCGATTGGTAGTGGTCGTGGTTCACACCCTAGACGGCAGCAGGGCCGCCAGGGAGGCTGTGGTTGGTTTGGCGTGTGCTGCAGGCGGGGCATGCACGAGAGCGAGGCGGGTGCGCTCGGGTGAGGAAGCGACGCTGCCGATGCAGGCATGAAAGGGGGATCTATCCTTGTCTTTCAGGACAATTGGGCGACCCTGACACATTTGGCGTCAAACCGCGCGGCACACAGCAGACTGAGGTGCTGTCTTGGTGGATCCACCCTGCTGAGAAAGGGGCTGCCTCACCTTGCAATCAGCCCCATTGTGCACAGTGCGGGCCTTGCCTGGGCCGGCCGCATCTGCGCTGCCGTCACAGGCGCTCGGGACGCTGCTGTCCCTCCCGCGCATCTCCACCGGCGTCGCTTCGGGCCCGGCATCCACCTCCCCTGCTGCGGATTCGCGGCCTGCTTCGGCGCCACCAGCCCCCTCGGCGGCCGCCAGCTCCCAACCGCAGGCCGGGCCGCTCGACCGGCTCAAAACGTCGCCGCAGATGCTCTCGCAGGATCCCTCGGAGCGCACTACGGCTGCCTGTGCGGCCGCGAGTTCCTGCTGCGAGCCCCGCTGGACGGGGTTGTGCATGAGGGCCCCTTCTTTCGGTCCTGATGCGGCGGCGGCGGCCTCCTTGTCCTTGGTCTTGTGGGCTCTGGCGGCGTCCTTGGCGATGGCGGCCTGCTTGGCGGCCTCGACCCTGGCTGGCTCCCCCGCCACGTAGGCATCCCTGGGGAGGAGAAGGGGGCGTTGGGTGTGTATGCGTGTGTGCGTGCGTGCGTG